TGATGTGATCAATGAGACTTCTGCAAAGAAGATTTGGGAGATCCTTGAGAGCAAGTATTTGACCAAGAGTGTGGAGAATCGCTTGCATTTGAAGAGGAGGCTTTACCGCTTCCAGTTGAAGAAAGGAACCTCCATTGGTGATCACATGAACCACTACACGAAGCTTCTTGCGGATTTGGCGAATGTGGATGTTAAGATTGAAGATGAGGACAAGGCGTTGTTGCTATTGAGTTCCTTGCCTGACGAGGAATATGAGACCTTCGTTCTTACTCTTATTAATGGGAAGGCATCTCTTTCGTATAGTGAGGTCACCGCTGCACTTGTGAATTATCAGCTTCGAAAGAAGGATAAGGAGACTTCGTTTGAGCCGGTAGCGGGGGCGTTGGTCGCAAGAGCAAAGGGTCCAAACCGTAGTGGGAGGTCGCAGTCTAGAGGGGCACATCTTGGAGTTCGTAAGAATCAGTGTGCCTTTTGCAAAGAAGATGGACATTGGAAAGCCGAATGCCCAAAGTTAGTTGATCGAGCCGGGAAGAATAAGGGAAAAGCTATTCAAGCTTCAGAGGCGAATGTTGTCAAGACAAATGGCAACGATTCAGATTCGGAATCTTCGGGCTACTCGTTATCTGCACTGTCGTCAGTTTGTGTTGCCTACTCTACAAAGTGGATGTTGGATTCGGGAGCTACATACCACATTTGCCCTAGGAGGGATTGGTTCTCCAGCTTTCAGGAGTTAGAAAGAGGGGATTTCGTGCTCATGGGGAATGATCACAAATGCTCTATTGGTGGTATCGGTACCATTCAGATCAGGATGAGTGACGGGGTGATTCGGGAGTTGGTTGGAGTAAGGTTCGTTCCTCAGTTGAAGAAGAACATCATTTCACTTGGAGCTTTGGAGGCAGCTGGCTATAGGGTGACCTTGGCGGATGCACGCTTGAAGGTTACATTTGGGTCCATGATTGTGATGAAGGGCGTCAGAAGAAGAAATTTGTATTATTTGCACGGAAGCACGGTGATTGATAGGGAAATGACGACTTCATCAGATTCGGCTAGACTGTGGCATTGTTTGGTGCTGGGGTATATGATTGGTAATACCGTGCATTGGTTGTTGAGGAGTGCTATGACCTGCAGATTGAAGTCCTGTGAGCACATTGGGATGAGCAAGACCATGGTGGAGTTTGGCACTCCTATCCATCGAGCGATGGGTCTTTTAGGAGGTGTTCAGTCAGGCATTTGGGGGCCTTCCAAGGAGGTATCATTGGGAGGTAATCGTATCTTGGTTTTCGCAGTTGATGATTGTTCTAGGCATTATTGGGTCGCGACCAGTTCCCGTTGGTGTAAGGTCCTAGAAGTCAACAACAGTTGGAAGAAGTGTATTGGTAGAAAGGTAACTCGTTGTTTCAGCTTTGGTAGGAGTCCTTTCTTGAATTTGTGCTAAGCTCACGGCAATAGGAGACACTTCATTGGTGTGGAGACTTTGGGGCGACGAGATGAGATGACAGTTTCGATGGGTCGTTCCTTTCTGGAGGAGGATCGGCGTTGGTTGTCGAGCATTGGTTCTGGAGCTTAGACATATTTGGGTCATCTTAGTCACAGGTCGCCGACTGCTGCATTAGGAGTTATTGGATCTGGTGGAGCTGCTTTAGATTTTGGGTTGCGTCGGATATTTGGATACCCAGCATTTGGTCACATCGAGGAAGTGAAATTTGATCCGATTGCGCGTTTGGGGTTCGGAGGCTCAGTTGATTATCGTTTGGGAGCTTCTGATTTTGTTCTGAGCAGGTATGTCACTTTTGACTCTCGGCAGGTGGAGAGTGTTGATCAGGTCGTTTGGATATCGCAGCAGGTGGAGAGTGATGCTACTCTACGTTGGGTGGAGATTACTCCACGTACTCCAGATCATACTGCGTCATTTGGGATTCTAGCTGAGCTGACACAGGTTAGGGATCATTTGATTTCGGATGCAGATGATGGATTGGTTTTGGACTCGGTTGTAGCTAGTGGACATGATTTGGATACGGCCATTGGTTTACCTCAGATGGAGGTGTTTGATTTGTATCAGTTTGGGGCCGCTATCAGTTGCAGATCCGTCGGCGATATTGGGGAAGAGTTGCAGACTTTTCTATTTGTTTGAGGGCCTTTGGAGGCCGTTTGGTGAACTACGTGAAGGCTTGATTCCTTGGGCCAGAGGATACGTAGGCAGTCTTTATGATGCAGCCGATTTGGTGAGTGACATCGACATTTGGGGTGAGTGTTCGCACTCCTATTTGGGTCTCATTATGTGAGGCATTTGTTTGGTTGGTGTCGGCTCAGTTTTGGGAAAACTTCGTCGAGGTGGAGAATTATGGAGAAGAACTTAGAAAAGCAGTTTTTTGGTCATAAGTCGACTCATGCACAGGCATAAGTCGACTTATGGTAAGTCGACTTATGTTTGTGCATGAGTCGACTTACGTTCTGCTCTGGATTGTTGAATTTGGGCTCTGGCAAGTCGACTTATCAGGTCTGATAAGTCGACTTATGATCTCTTCTCCAGTTGCTGTTTTTCGCTCTGCCAAGTCGACTTATGCAGACTGTTAAGTCGACTTATGACGGGTTTTTTGGAAAGTTAGAGTTCCTATTTACAGTCTGTTTGGGTTTCTGTTTTGGTATAAATACTAATACGATTTGAGGGTTTTGTAGGAGCGTTTTGGGGGATTTTGGAGCACAAAAAGAGAGATCTTTCTGAGCTATTTGTTAGGGTTATTGGTTGAGAGGTTGAGAGATTTGTTGGTGAGATTAGTTGGTTCGTTTGAGCGATTTGTAATCTCAATTTGTACTCTCCTTCTCTATTAGTGGAAACCCTCCCCCTTCCTTCCCCGTGGACGTAGGCAATTGCCGAACCACGTTAAAATTAGTGTTTGGTTTGTGCATTGATATTTGGTTGTTTTTGGCCTTCTTGGATCGGCGTTTGTTTTGGTTCCTCGGCGCCGTCGTCAGCACAACAGATTGCCAGTCTAATTGTTGGAGATATTTATGAGACAATCGGCATAAGAAATATAGAGGAGGATTCTTCTTGTTCTGGCAGGAAGCCGAAGTATGGGCTACCCTGTTGCATGCAAAACATTTGAAATCCCCCAAAGAACAGTTCTTGGCCATGTGGCTTTTGTCCCCACAACGGAAACACCTAAGGGGTTTAGGAGGGAGGGGGAAAAGGTGATGGCTTAGGGCGTTTTCTATATGAGACAGAGGGGTTTAGGAGGGAGAGGGGGGAAAGGTGATGGCTTAGGGCGTTTTCAGAAATTAGGTTTGTCCAAAATCAGTGATCTTCATCCAAGCTTTATGCTAATGCAATATCCCTTGCTTTTTCTATATGGTGAAGATGGATTCAGACAAGATGTTTCATTACTGGATACTGGAAACTCTAAATCTCATAAAAGGAAATATGTTATAACGAAAGAGTATCCCACTTTCCGAATTCAACAACGTCTGGATGAGGCTCTCACATTAATTCTTACTAGAAATTTATTCCAAACTTATGCCATAGATCTACTGACATGTATTGAAAAAGACAGACTACACTGGGTTAAAAAGAATCAACCAAAAGTAAGGGCAAAATTATATTGTGGGATAAAAGTTGCTGTTTTTAGAAGAAATACTGAAGTATATCATGTTGGTCAAAGAGTTTTACCACCATATTTGTTCACTGGCTGTCCATGATAGACGAATCAAAATTACATGCAATAGCTTTATGTCGTGTTATGGAAAATCTTGAACTTTTCATAACCATGACAGCAAATCTAAAGTGGCCAAAAATAAAATACATGTTGGATGAAGTTGGAAGTCAAAGAACAGATGAGAGACCCGATATTGTTGTTTGGGTTCTCAAAATGAAGCTTGATCACCTTATGGAGGATTACAAAACGGAAATCATTTTGGAAAACCTACTGGAGGTATGTCTTCATATAATGGTCTGTTCTACACGGACATGAATGCAGGATAGTGCATGTATTGTGAAGTACTTTATATAACTTCCGTAACACTAGTAGAAAACCACGTATTCTGGACGGAATATTCTAGACGGAATTTTTTCCGTCTAGAATGTATTAAACTAGACGGAAAATTTCCGTCTAGAATATTCCGTCTAGAATAAAACATTATAGACGAAAATTTCCGTCTAGAATAGTATTCTAGATGGTTGTTTTATTTTTATTATTATTTTTTTAAAATTTTTGCGTATCCTAGACGGAAATTTCCGTCTAGAATGTATCCTAGACGGAAATTTCCGTCTAGGATACGTGGAAATTTTAAAAAAATAATAAAGCGTCAAAACCCCAGTCTCCTTCTTATTTTCCCCCCAAATCGAAATTTCAGCGCCTCCCCACCCCCCAAATCCTCAACTCCTACTCCTCCCTCCACCGCCTCCCCCTCCTCACCCTCTCCCTCCTCAACCTCACCCCCGACCCCTCCCCCCACTCTACTCCNNNNCTCCCCCCCTCCAAATCCCACCCAGCCTCCACCAAGAGCCGCCAAGAAACCCTAGATTGTGTCGACGATCTCCAAACGAATCTCCTCAACTTCTTGTCGGCGGCAGAGCCCGGATTCCTCGACGAGCTACTGCCGCTCCAGCGGGCACGTGCTTTCCTCGTGCTCGCCCAATCCGCTTCCTCTTTGTTGGCAGGTATAAAGCCCTAACCCTAGCTCATTGATTCTTTTGCTTTCATAAAAATTCTTTTTTCCCTTTTTCTTTGAGCAGCAAGATTGAGGTGCAGTGGAATTCGACCAGATGATCATCCTATCAAAACTGAGATTGTAAGAATTTATCTCGATTTTATCGTCTAATATTTTTGTGGGGTTAGTTGTTTTCTGCTAAGAGATTGATAATTAAGCATATGTGTTTAAATCGTAGGAGAGATTGAGCTTGTGTGCGGGGAAATTGGAGCGATTTGGTAATTGGAACTAAGATATTCTACTTTTGTTGTTAATTTATCTCATTCAAAAGACGTCTTCTCAGTCTTTTGAGTTTTGACTCGGCTCTTCATGAATTTCTTTATGAGGGTAAGGCTACTGTCTGGATGTTATACTGTAGTACTTAAAAAAAAAACTTTCCTTCCCTTGATTAGCTGTGTGCATTGCTTGTCTATATGAAACATGTCGTTACTTGACTTCTCTACCAATTAATTTGTTTTCATTTTCTTCTTGCATACATAATCGTGCTTCATGTTCTGTATTCATTTCTATCTATTTCAGTTGCAAGAATAGTAGCAGAAATTGTTTTGTGCTATCGATTTTTTTAATTACTTTATCTTTCCCTGGAAAAAGACATGTTTCCTACTATGTCGACATAAATTGAATGTTATACTATAGTTTATCCTCTAACTTGGCCATACCTTCTGTCTTTAGATTTCCTAATAATGTGGCAGAGATATGTTTTCGTGACTTTAAGTTTAAGATTTAGATTTTCTTTCAATTAGAATATGACTTAATTTGCTAAAGTTATGTTTTCTTTGATGCAGGAGAAGATAGAATCTAAAACAGATATACTTAAGGAAATTCTAAACCCAGTAGTCGCTGAAGCTGAAGAAGTTTCATGGCCTCCAAGGGATCCTGAAGCTCTCATATTGATGGAAAAAGTAAATCACTGGTTTGGAATTTATCTAAATCAAGTTGCCTACCTATTTCAACAGTAATACTTACTTTTAATTAATACCTTACATTAGTCCTTAGTTATGTTCATCTCAGTGCAGACTCTTAGTTCAATTCTTACTCTTAAGGAAAAGTTTGAATTATTAATATGAGACCTGGATATACTTCTATTATTAAGCGATAAAGGGTTCAAGATAACATAATAAACATGAAAATTGGGAAATGCTAATATGGATGTGTAGAAGAACTGGAGAACGTAAGTATTAAACTTGTACATCATGTGAGAGTTGGTTTTTGTAGTTGTTGGCAATAATGTCTCAGGTGGCATCATGTGAAGTGATGTTCTATGAGTGCCTTCCAGATGTGTAATAAAGAGTTATGGTGTTCTTAACTGGTCAGGGGTAATTTTACTCCTAAAATAATATGTATAATTTGCAACTGAACAATTTCTATTTTGCTAGTAGGATTTGATTTGAAACTCAAAATCAACACCAGAGGAGAGCTTTAAATTAAGAAGTTTAGAAGTGTTATAGAGACATAATTATCATTAGATGTTTCTTTTCTTTCTGTTGCCTACTATCTCCATATCCTGTACATCAGTCCATTGCAATATAACATTTCTTTTCTACCTGCTAGTGCATTTACCATGTTAGTCAATGCTCGATTAAGTTTCTAATAGTCTTGACATAATTATAAAAGTAAATTGGAGAGGAAGCTCTCGGAGGCAGCAGGGAGAGAGGTGGTTCTTTGGTTCATGGAAGAGAAGGCAGATGACATCACGAAGCAGGTAAAAGAAATTAAACCTATTCAGAGTTCTGCTGATTTTGGGAAGTTGAGAAATGCAAATTTAAGATTATGTAGTTACAAAAGTTTGAAATTATCAGAATGAAAGTAACTTAATATGAACTGAATATTTCTTTAGTTAGATTGGAAATATTTCTATACTCTTGTTGTGTTACATTAACATTGTTTTAACATTACTATGTTTAGTCATTGTGTATATAGACGTGTCTGCGCAAACTCAATGTCAACATAATCAACTAGTGATAGTTTGGCTTGGATGATTTTAAGTTTGTAATGAAGTATATGGACTCTCACACATTGAACACCTCAGGTTTAATGTTTAACTTGTGCTCAATTCTTAACTCCCTAAATTTGATTATTGGAAGTGCTATTAATTAAGTCTCCCAATTAATTCTTAACTTGCTGTGATATTAGTTTTTCAAATCACTGGAATTACTAATAAGATGGGTTAATTCTTAAGTTCGTGTGGTATTAGTCCCTGCTTTGATATTTTCAAATCTGTCAGTTATATAGAACACGTAGCTAATGATTTTCATGTTTCTTGCTATATCATTGTCGTGCTTGCTTATGTGAATGTCTTCTGAAATCTGTTGTCTGGTCATGACCTTTTGAGATCACAATACTTGTTGAGATGCTCTAGTATATGCTTAGTTAACATCATGTTGTTAAGAGGTTTTTTGTATTCTCAGTGAAAACAAACTTATGCAATAAGACTTCCTAGAGCTCTTGTGAACAACTTATGCAATAAAACTTATGCAATATTGTATTCTCAGTTGTAACAGTACTGATCTACTTTAATATTTTTGAGGGAAACTTATATTTTTATTTGGTTTATCAGATAAATACTTGCAATGGTTTTTATTGTGATAGCTTCAAGCCAAACAATGAAACGAGTCCTAAGATGTGGACAGAAAATTGGACTGGCTGGTGGGTATTTTTCTAAAATTTTCTTTTATATTTTTATTTTTTATGTTTTTTCTGTATTTATATTATACTTTTGATGATTATACGTATTCACAGTTTTAAAAGTTGGGATTCACCAGATCCTCATAGGCCCGCAGAGGATGTAGCTTTGGTTGTTGCTCGATTTTTCCAAAGAGGAGGAATTGTGCGTAATGTTGTGCGATGGAGCATACAGAACCTCTTGTAAATAATTTATGTAAAAGTTTGTAAACAATTTATGTATCTCTCTACTATTTTGGTGAATGTATTATTTGAATATAATGGGATTTGATATTGGAATATAATTAGATTGTGTTGGATATAAATATAATTTTTTGTTGTTCAATATTGTGTACATGCACCCAAAGCTAGGATAACTGCAAAAAAAAAAAAAAAAAACTACTGTAGCATAGTATCCTAGACGGAAATTCCGTCTAGGATACTCAAATTCCGTCTAGGATGTTTTTTTAAAAATAAAAAATTAAAAACATCAAATTCCGTCTAGAATGAGTATTCTAGACGGAAATTTCCGTCTAGAATACTCATTCTAGACGGAATTTTTTTCCGTCTAGGATAAATTATTCTAGACGGAAATTCCGTCTAGAATAATCCGTCTAGGATGTATTCTAGACGGTTTTGAATTCCGTCTAGAATATTCCGTCTAGGATGTATTCTAGACGGAATTTCCGTCTAGAATAATTCATCCTAGACGGAAACATACTAGACGCCTATTCTAGACGGAATTCCGTCTAGAATACGCATTCTAGACGGAATTCTGGGTATCCTAGACGGAATTTTCCGTCTAGGATACCTCATTATTTAGCAGTGTAAATATTTTGAAAAATCTATTACTCATCCATAAGCCAGTCCGTTGGTGTTAGATATATTCAAATGACAACCTTAGTGTTTAAAACTTCTGTTCACTGACAGATTCGAAAAATCTTCATGATTTTCAATATGCTGATTGAATATATGAAATATATAGAGATTTGTTAGCATTATTTGTACAACTTCTTAGATATTATCATGCATACAATTTAATCTTTTACCTATTTCATTACCATAGTTTTTAGTGCGGATATCACATTAGTTTTCCTTCAAATCCAATATATAAATACTTAGACTGTTTACTTATCTTATCTAATATACTAAAGTTTCATGTCTTCAAAGGGAAACATATAAGTGTTATTGTGCATTGTGTACGCTGTATTCTTTGTTTAAAAAATGGTTAATATATATGAATAAAACTGATGTAGATCCAATGCTTTCATTTCAATATGTTTTTGACCAAAGCTCAACAATGCAACTTCCATGAGTCTATCAATCTATATTTTGTTGCGCGCAGTGGAAATTTCGGCAGCACCTCGGCACAACAATAGAGTTAGGTCGCAATAAGAATTCTTGTTTCTCAAAGGGAACAAGAATCTGAAGCCTAATATCTCATCAAAGTGAGATATTAGCTCTTCCTCTCGTCAGCTCTAGGACTGCGCGTCGAGGGAACCTAAAAGCTATTACAAATCACACAAATAGCAGTATAACCAATTTTACGTGGTTCGGCAAATTGCCTACGTCCACGGGGCAAGGAGGGGGAGATCTACTATTAGAGGGAGAGATACAACTAGGGTTTACAATTACTCAATCTAAACCCTCAAACAAACTCTCAAATCCCTCATACAAAACTCTCTCAAGAGCACAAAAGGACTGCACCAAGAAAAAAAAAACTCCTGCTGTTCCTGCTAAAAATACCCAAAGCCGAACAAACAATTCCCCTGCACAACGCCAAGAGAAACCAAAGTCTGCCTTCTTTTTCTTCTGCAGCCGCCTTTAATAAAAGGCCAAAAAATCTCCTACACCGCCTAATTGCACCTGCAGCCGCCAATCAAAAAGACCCCTTGCACAGCCGAAACAAAAAAACCTAGGTGACCCTTTTATAATGTGATTGGTTTTGATTCGGGTGGGCCGCACTTCCTTCTTTGCACAATCCTCACGCGGAAACAAGCCGCGTCTCATTCACGTGGCTTCAATCACGTGGTAGACCCCCCACGTCACAATTCTCCACCTCGGTGAAGTTTTCCTAAAACTGAACCGACACCATAGCATCCAAATGTCCCAACTTATTATGTCCAGTACGAACTCAATCCATAATAAGTCGAGAACCCGAACGAGAGTCCAAACAATCTCACCCCCATCAACAAATCCAAACCGGCTGCATCTGAAAGACTACCTACGTATCCTCTTGCCCAAGGAATCAAGCCGAACGTAGTTCATCCAAATGGCCGCTAACGGCCTCAACAATCACGAATGTGCAACATGTTTCGACAATGATCAAACTTGTTGCTCGGAACCACCTTAGTGAGCATATCTGTCGGATTATCCTTCGTGTGAACCTTCACAAGTTCCACATCGTCATCTTCAAGAACATCCCGAACGAAGTGATAACGAACGTCAATGTGCTTCGTCCTCGCATGAAAAACCTGATTCTTCACCAAATAGATAGCACTCATGCTATCACAATGAATAGTGACGGACCTCTGCGATATACCAAGTTTCTCCAAAAGTCCTCGAAGCCAAATAGCCTCATTCATAGCCTCCGTAACTGCCATATACTCTGCCTCCATCGTAGACAAAGCCACCGTCGACTGTAAGGTGCATCTCCAACACACCGGTGCACGGGTCAAAGTAAACACATACCCCGTCGTAGACCGACGCTTATCCAAATCCCCGGCATAATCCGAATCAACATAGCCAATGCATAACTGCCCGTAGTGTCCCGCTCATAAACTAAACCAACATTGAGCGTACCTCGAATGTACCTCAAAATCCATTTCACGGCGTCCTAATGACCCACTCCTGGATCGTGCATGTATCTCGATACCATGCTCACCGCCTGTGACAAATCCGGTCTCGTACATACCATTGCATACATCAAGCTTCCAACCACACTCGCATATGGAATCTTTGACATTAACTCTCGATCTTCAACTGACTTCGGTGAAAGACCAGCTGAAAGCTTCAAATGGGCTCCCAAAGGTACACCAACTGGCTTCGTATCCATGCTAACATGGAATCGCTGTAGAACCTTCTTCAAATAAGCCACCTGTGTTAAACAAATTTTGCCCTTCTTCTTGTCTCTGTCGATCTCCATCCCTAGAATGCGCTTCGCCTCGCCCAAGTCCTTCATCTCAAACTCATTTGAAAGCTGAACTTTCAACTCATCTATAGCCGACCTGGAACTAGAGGCAACCAACATGTCATCGACATAAAGTAACAAATAGATGTACACACCTCCTTTCAACTTGTGAAAATATACGCAAGGATCAAACTGGCTCCGAGTGTACGAATGACTAATCATAAAACCATCGAATCGCCTATACCACTGTCGAGGAGACTGCTTCAAACCGTATAGTGATTTCTTTAGTTTGCAAACTAATTTTTCCTTCCCTGCAGCTCGGAATCCTAATGGCTGAGTCATATATATTTCTTCATCAAGATCACCATGAAAAGATATCGTCTTTACATCTAACTGATTTAACTCCAATCCATATTGTGCCACCAAATCTAGCAAAATTCAAATCGAAGAGTGCTTTGTACCACTAGAGAGAAAACCTCATTATTATCATTACCTTCCTCCTGTGCATAGCCTTTCGCAACCAACCTAGACTTGAACCTTATTGGAGTGCCTTCAATGCCCTCCTTCTTCGTGTATACCCACTTGCAACCAATTGCCTTCCGCCCCTTTGGAAGCTCAACAAGCTCCCATGTATCGTTCTTATGAAGAGATTCCATCTCCTCCTGCATAGCTACCTGCCACGAATCAGCCTCCGAACTCTGCTTGGCCTCTCTGAATGTAGTAGGCACCAACTCATCGATAATCTCCACCGGAAGTGCATACGCAACTGTGTCGGCATACCGTGCTGACATCTGTATGTTTCTCCTCTGTCTCCGAACTGCAATAGAATCCTGAACCTGAGCCGTCGGTTCCTGATCCCGCACATTTGTACTCGTATCCTCCGTGTCACCGTCGTGCTCGCCTGGCGTTACCTCAGTCGGCACATGCATGGATACTGTACCATCTGGACAATATGGAGCTGCATCGATCTCCACCACCTGCGATATCTCCTCCGTCGGGTCGCTCTCCACCTGATGAGAGCTGGGAAGCTTCAAGATAGAAGCCTCATCGAATGTGACATCCCTACTCAGCACAATCTTCTTATCCACTGGGTCCCAAAGTTTGTATCCCTTGACACCACGCTTGAATCCTACAAATATGGTCTTCCTAGCTCGAGGTTCTAATTTATCAGTTCTAACATGATAATATGCAGGGCACCCAAATACCTTGAGCTAGTCATAGTCGTGTGCTGGCTTTCCCGACCACATCTCCATAGGGGTCTTCTCCTCAATCGCAGATGAAGGCAGCCTATTAATGAGGTGACTCGCATATGTAAGTGCATCAGCCCAAAAGATCTTCTCCAAACCACTCTGTAACAATAAGCATCTGATCTTTTCCAGTAAAGACCGATTTAACCTTTCTGCCACCCCATTTTGCTGCGGTGTATGACTAACCATGAAGTGCCTCTCTATGCCCTCGTCTCGACATAGCTGCAGAAAGGGGTCAGAAGTATACTCACCACCGTTGTTGAATCTCAACGTCTTGATCTTTCTCCCAGTCTGCAGTTCCAATCTCTTCTTCCACTCCACAAACAAATCTAGGACTTCACTCTTCTTTGTCATGGTGTACACCCAACAACGCCTAGAATAGTCATCTACAAAAGTGATGAACCAATGTCTACCACCAAGTGATGCAGTCTTGGTGGGACCCCAAACGTCTGTGTGCACGTAGTCCAGGATGCCTCTCGTCTGATGAATGGCAGTCCCGAACTTCACCTTCGTCTTCTTGCCAAGAACACAGTGCTCACAAAACTCAATCTTCCCACTCTTGGCTCCCTTCAATAGCACCTGCTTGCACAATGCCTGCAGTGACTTTTCACCTGTGTGCCCCAACCTATAGTGCCAAAGTCTGCTCATGTCCGCTTCTGAAATAGCCGAAGCAACCTGGCCAATCTCGGTGCTTCCCTTCAGATAATACAAATTCCGATTGCGGACTCCCCTTAGTAACCTTCGCTACAGCATTTTCGAAAGTCACCTTGAATCCATTCGCCTCCAAAGCTCTAACTGAGATAAGATTTTTCTTCAGTTGAGGAACAAATCTCACCTCCTTCAACTCACGGACTACTCCATCGTGCATCCTAATCCGTACG